GATTGATATCGATTTTTAATCGATTAATATCGAATGCCGATAGCAATAGATGAAAATCGATAAAAAAAGTTGAGTGATCAATTGTTATCGATTGCCAATAGTACTCGATAGCGATTGATTCATCGATTGGTATCGATTATTATCGATTGTTATCAGAAATCATATTTGTCCTTTTACAAGTTACACTGATAAAATATTTGACAAAATTTGTCTACAAAGAGTCAATTTATCATAGACTGCGTATCTTTTACAATCATTGAGAAAATAATAACAAGAACAGAAAAAACTGGCAGAAACATTTTGAGCTTTACATCTTTCTTTGCTATTTTATGACACCGGAAGAAGCTCAGCCCAGAGTAGCAGCGTAAAACCCTCGAGCTCCAGTCTCATTGTAGAGTCGGCATTATGAAGAAGCGAAATAAACAACACAGTCAGTGTTCTAGTGATTTCAATTATTTGCATTAGGAAACAACGTAAGAATACATCTCGGGAGTAGGGGGGATCGATAAAATCTTTTTCTATCAATTCTTTTTTTATCAAAAAGAAAATATATTAAATCTAGCTAGCATGCTGAAGATGAACGTCTCGTGTTGTTCCTGGTATATTTTACACAACAACAAAGCCATTTTTGAATAGTCCGGGTGGTTATTGTCGATTTTTTTAATCGATTTTTCTTAAAATCGATATCAACCAATTTTCCTGAAGACAGGAATTATCGATTGCTATCGATTTTTGCTAATCGATAGCAATCGATAAAGAAATTTTTCTGTGAGTTATCGATTGTTATCGACTGCCGATATTAATAGATAGCAATCGGCGACTGATTTTCGATTTCGATTTTTATCGATTGACTACGCCTAGTATTAATTAATCAGACAACTTGCAGTTTAGGAAAGTTGGGCAATTTTGCCACATTGTCAGCTGTGAAATATCCACATCAACAATAAAAAGTTTCGTTTTCTTTCTTGGAATATTATAGATGAACGCTTTTTCAGACATTATTCTCTCATTCAAGTCCCTGGTGTGTACTGAAGGTTACACAAAATGTCAAATCAGAAGTTAAAGAAATGAATAATTAATATAAATAATGTCCCTGAAAATGAACTGATATCTGTCCGAAGTAGTCTCGCATGCATAGATGTCCGCCATTTGGAGTATATCTTTCCAGTTTTTTATGCCATTTTAGAAATTCACGTAGGTAAGGTAAAGTCTGCATACGAGCCAAGTGGCCCATCAGGCCGGAGCTTATCCCGGTTTCTGTAGC